CATCATATATTTGTCAAAACCCATAGAATGTACAAGACCAGGAGTGAACCCTAGTAAACTATGGACCTCAGGGGGTAACAATGTCTCAATGTAGGTCCATTGACTGTAAAAAATGTATTTCTGTGGTGCAGGGCATCAATAGAGGAAGAGGCTATGTACAACTGTTGTTAGGTGATATATGGGAAATCACTGTACCTTCTGCTCAGTTTTGCTGTGAACCTAAAAATTCTCTAAAAGTAAAGTTTACTAATTTTTAGAAAGTCAAATCATTTTGAACCTTTGAATATTTGTTAAGCAAGTGGATGAAGAAATCAGCAGAGTTAAGGGATGAAAAGTAAACGTAAATTGCAGTAGAGATAAGTTATAGGTATCAATGGACTGTGAGAAAGTAAATTTAGTGACTAGAGACATTAGATCAGAAGGAAAAGGGTATCAAATGAAAAATACGGAGACGAATGAATTAGGAAGAAACAGCCCAAGTGCCCAATATCAGCAATGGGCGGCAGTTTGAATGATTAAAGCACACAGTGGAAGGCGCCGCCTCTATTTATCTCTTTGTGTAACAGCCATGAGATTCACATTACCTAGAACATTACCTAGTGTGGAAACGTGCCTGTTTTCAGAACGCTTCCACCACAGCGCCACCAGCAGGATAATCAACTTGTATAATTCCAAAGGCAACATGAATAATGGTAAGATGTTCATTCTTGAAGTGATTAACAGGTGCAGACTGCTATGGAGAAGAGTCAATAAGGAGGCAGAGAGAAGTTCCCTTGTGATATGGTTTGGCTGGGTGCCCACCAAAATCTCACCTTGAATTTTAATAATCTTCACGTGTCAAAGATGGGGTCAGGTAGAGATAACTGAATCACTGGAGCACTTTCCCCCATACTGTTCTTGTGGTAGTGAATAAATCTCACGAGATCTGATGATTTTATAAATGGGAGTTCCCCTGCACAAGCTCTCTTGCCTGCCACCATGTAAGATGTGACTTTGCTCCTCATTTGCCTTCCACCTGATTGTGAGGCCTCCCCAGTCATGTGGAACTGTGAATCCATTAAACCTCTTTCCCTTATAAATGATCCAGTCTCAGGTATGTCTTTATTAGCAGCGTGAGAATAGACTAATACACCTTGCTCCTGCTGAAAGGTAGGAAAACTCAGGAAGAGGAGTCCTCAGCTTTAAAAATAGGCATCAAACTCAGAATTCTGAGTGTGAGCTGACTCTCAAGTCAGAGTAAGGACTAATGCTTGGAGGGGTTCAGGTTGTAAACTGTCTACTGAAGGTAGAGGAACATTCAGCTTCTGGCTGGATGCCATCTTAAGGCTGGAAAGAGAATCAGAAATTACTCTATTAAATCTTGTAATGGGAACACATGATAAACTGTTAGGCCCTTGCCCTGAATTGTGTGTGTAACTCAAGTTTCAAGAGAGAGATGGATAGTTAACCAAATGTACTGTATGCTATTCTATACTGGGTGCTATGTGGTAAAGAAATGAACAATAAGCAATAGTAACATAGAAAAGCATTTAATTTGAAAAGTGTCAAAATCTGGGTATGCCATTTTGACTCACAAGAGAAATGACTTTTGCTGACTTCTAGGCTTTCCATGCCAACGAGTGCAGTGGGGTTTAACAATCTCACTGTCCAATGGAGCCAATACCATACTCTGATTCAAGTTGAATGGATTCACGTTTAAGCTGGACCACTTATTAGCATAACTTTGGGCACATCATCTGACCTCTCAGAAACTCATTTTAAAAAATGTTATTTGTAAAATAGAACTAGTAATAGTTTCTACTTCATTAGTCATATCTTAGCAGAGTAGTGTTGACTTAAATCCCGCTTAACAGTGTTGGTGTGAGGATCACTTGAAATGGTGGCTATAAATACACTTTGAAAACGGTAAAGCATGATACAAATATAAATCATTGATGCTATTATTTTTATTTATTTTTTAATTTTCAACATAACTGATTAGAATTTCTGATCTTTAAAAGGAAGAAGAGCAAAGTTTTATTTCTGCCATTTCTCTCTCTTTTAAAAATAAAATTATGATATATACTACCATGCTCTGGATGTGGAGTCTTTTTAGTAAAAGTCTTAGAATGAGGGATGACTTCTCTTTTCTCCATCACCTCTCTGAGATCAACAGGGCTTAACAGACTGAGGATGGTTTTCGGACAGGAGCTACTTCCATGTCACACTTTAATATACAGATGCATCTAATGTTCCTGGTCAAGAGGGTAAACATTGCTGCAATATATATATATAGCTTCTCTTCAAATATATATGTGTGTGTATATATATATATCTGTATATACACAATGTGTGTATATATGTGTATATAAAATCCTGATGTCTTCTCTACAGTGCTAGCTAGTTGCTAAAACTGATCCAAGTTACATTAAACTAGATGTAGTCTCAAACAGAGCCAAGTTGTATAGCTCTGCAACTAGATCTAGCTGTACATTTTTGGTATAAACCTCTTTTTATAATATTTATTTTTGTGAACATATTTCTCCATATTATATGCAGGAAATGTATTTCTTAATTTCCCAGTCAATTAAAATGTGCTTTGATAAAGAGTAAAAAAGACTGAACATTATCTCTGAGGACAAATGTGCATTCCTTAATGTAACAGTATATTTAAAATGTGGTTTGATTAATGCCAAATCCTCAGAAGGTACATTTAAGGGAAAAACAGCCAGGGTTCTCAAACTGAAATTCTTGTCAAAAAAGATCAGTTCCCATTTCATTTCAACCATTTATCTTTGTAGTTGGTAATGTTTTCATACCTTTACAAGATTTTATAAATGAAGTTCTTTTGATATCCTTTCAAAAGATGCTTAATAAAGTAATGGAGCCAATTTTTTTTTTCACTGACTGTTCATGGTAACTGGGAATAGTTTGCAGAGAATAGGAAAATTTCTTTTCTTCAAACTTGCTCAGTAGGGATGAACAGTTAAATTCATTTTTTTTCATACCTGCATTTCATTTAAACACAAATCTCTCCTTTCCCTCACACTTGCCTTTCACAAACTTAAGCCGAGTCTACAAAGAGCAGTAAACCAAAGAAAGAACAATGAGACATTATTTTAGGTTGTAGGGAATCTATTACAGTGGGAAAATGCTGAATTCTGAATCTGAAAACCTGGGATAAAATTTCTACCTTCAAGTTGTAATTGGGTCTTTGGGAAAGTTACTTAAGCACTAGAAGTTTAATGGTAACAGTCTCAATTTCTCTATCCACTAAGTGGAGGATAATAAAATCTCCTCTTATTTCACAGACTTGTATGTGAAATTCAAAAAAGGTGATTATCCACATTATCATTAACATTTTTAATTGCTTCCTGTGCTTCCTGTGAATCAAAAATAAATGCAACATATGTAGTGTGTATTAGAGATCTACTCATAAACACAACTTCCTGTTGCTTCCTGTGAATCAAAAATAAATGCAACATATGTAGTGTGTATTAGAGATCTACTCATAAACACAACAGCCCCATAAGAAATGTTCTATCTCTATTTTGTGGTCAAGGAAACAGAGTTTCCGGGAAGTTAATAGACTTACCCAAGGTTAAAAGTCAATAAATGATACAGCCAGGATTAGAATTCAAGGAAAGTTGAACTCTGTGCAGTTAACCATTATACAATACTAATTTCAATGATCACAGAATATACATGCACTTAGGAAACCATAAAACACTAGGCAAATTCACACGAATTACTATTTACAATTTAAGTAGTGGCTTAGAATGAGATAAACTAACTGGCAATGTGACTGCTATTTCATAAGAGGTTGATAGATGATATTTAGGACAATGTCAGTGTTGATCTTGATTTTTATCATATGTTAAAACTTCAGGGCTAGGCATGGTGACTCACACCTGTATCCCTTTGGGAGGCTGAGGCAGTTGGATCACCTTAGGTCAGGAATTCAAGACCAGCCTCATCAACATGGTAAAACCCCGCCTCTACTGAAAATACAAAAATTAGCCAGGCATGGTGGCGGGCACCTGTAATCCCAAATACTCGAGAGGCTGAGGCAGCATTGCTTGAACCTGGGAGGCAGAGGTTGCAGTGAGCTGAGATCACGCCACTGACTCTAGCCTGGGCAACAGAGCAAGACTCCGTCTTAAATAAAACTTCAAAGAAGAAAGTCTCCACCCCATGAAGTTAGAGAGAGGTATGTAGTCAATCTTCTTACCTCAGCCATATCTTTACTATCCTTTCCCCATCCCAGTACCCACAAATTACGCTAATTCATGCCCCGGATTGGTATATAACTTTAAAAAAAAAAAACTGTCTTAATGTATTTTACAAATATTTGTTTGATATCTATTATGTTGAATAATATTTGTCCAATATCTATTTGTTGAATATTTATTGATATCTATTTGTTATATTTGTTGAATATCTATTATGATTCATTTCCTTAACCACTGTGTACATTCAGCCATGTAAAAACTCTACATAGGAAGACATAACAAGCAAAATCTATTATAAAGCTATAAACTGAGTGTCTTATGGGAGGTCAGAGGAAGAACCAAGAGTCTCAAAGGAAGTGAGAGATATCCCTAGGAAAAAAAGATGGTGAGAATATTCTAAATTATAAACTAGTACATGTAAAGGTAGGAAGACCAAAGAAAAAGGGTGTATATGAGATGAGGGTATATGTATTAGATGGGCTTGGGTTTTAGGATATTAGGTGTGCACCTGCGTAACTGGGAAGTGGGCTACATGGAAGGATGTGATAGAAGAGGTAAGTACCTTCACTAAAGATGCTGGTCTAAAAGAAATCAGTAAGACCAGGCCATGCAGCTCAAAATGCTAGTGCCCTCATCTATGTACTTAAAGTGTCCTATCAAGTACCATCAGGAGACTACCTGATATGACCCTGAAATAAGTCTAATCATAAAAGGACAATAGAATCCACTAGTGTTCTGAAATTGCAGTACTCTCTTTAACCTGTACTCTTCTACTCTCCACTCAGGATCACAGTCAAAAGATATTCCCGGTGCATCCGGAATCCACAGAGCCAGTAGGACCATAGCCACTTCCTCAGTGTCTAAGGGCTGCTTTGTGTTTAAGCCAAACTCCAAAAAGAGAAAGATCTCTGTGCCAATGGAGGACTATTTTAACAAAGGGAAAAATGAGTCTAAGGACAGTAAGCTTCAATTTGGAACTTAGTTGATATGGCAGCAAATGAAATCTGAAAATGAGCCACTACAAGAAGAATTAAATAAAAACTTGTTTGACAATCTAATTGAATTTCTGCAAAAATCTCATTCTGGATTCCAGAAGAATTCAAGAGACTTGGGCTGTCAAATAAAACTCAGAGAAATTCCAACTGCTGCTCTTGTTCTTGGTGTGAATGTCACAGATCATGATTTAACATTCAGAAGTCTAACAGAGGCCCTTCAGAATCAAGTCGCACCATATGTAGTCTCATTGCAAACTAAAGACTGTCCAGATATGAAACATTTTCTTTTGCAAAAGTTGATCTCACAATTGTTGAACTGCTGTGTAGATATAAAATCCAAAGAGGGGGAAAGTGTTCAGCTCACCCAGAGAAAGATACATTATTCAATGGACTCACTTTCCAGTTGGTATATGACTGTCACACAGAAGACAGACCCAAAAATGCCAAGCAAAAAGAGGACTACTTCTAGCCAATGGCAGTGTCCTCCTGTTGTGGTTATCTTAAAGGATATGGAAAGCTTTGCCACAAAAGTACTGCAAGACTTCATAATTATCAACAGTCAACATCTGCATGAATTTTCACTAATATTCATTTTTTGAATTGCCATATCTATTATCATCCGCCGATTGTTTCCTCATGCAGTATCATCTCTATTGTGCATAGAACTGTTCCAAGTTTTGTCTTGCAAGGAGCACCTGACTATGGTACTCAATAAGCTACTTCTTACAACTCAGTTTCCCTTTAAAATAAATGAAAAAGCATTGCAGGTTCTGACTAACATCTTTTTGTATCATGATTTTTAAATTCAAAACTTTATAAAAGGACCAGCTTTCTCTATTAGAGCATTTCTATTCCCAGCCCTTAGGTGTCTTGTGCTGTAATCTTCCAGAAGCCAAAAGAAGAATAAATTTTTTATCAAACAATCAATGGGAAAACATGAGACATCTTCCATCTTTTAGGAGGTACATAGAAAAGCAAGTTGCGCTCTTGACCAATGAGAGATGTTTGAAGGAGGAAACACAATTATTACTAGAAAACCTTCAAGTGTATCATAGGAATTACTTTCCGGTTTTGAGATGTCTTCATAAGTTCACCTCTTCTCTTCCCAAGTATCCACAAGGTTGACAGATCAGAGAGTTGTACCGCACATGTTTAGAAAAGAACATACGGAATTCAGAGGAGTATGCATCAGTCTTGTAGCTGCTGAAGATGTTGGCAAACGATGAACTGATGACCATACTTGAGGAATGTTTCAAGGTTTTTAAATCTTCTTGTGAAAATCACCTTGGCAGCACAGCTAAGAGAATAGAGAAGTTCCTGGCCCAGTTTCAGAGCTTCGATGAAACCAAAGAGGAAGAAGATGCTTCTGGGTCAGTCAAAGGGGCTTCAGAAGACAGACCTCTATCATCTTCAGAAGTCTTTACTGGAAATGAAGGAGTCAAGCAGAAGTAAGAAGCAAACCAAATTTGAAGTACTCAGAGAAAATATTGTGAACTTCATGACTGTCTAGTGAGAGAACAGCTTCTGCCTCCTGAGACACAGCCTCTCCATGAGATGGTCCGCTTCAGTGCTGCCCATGCCCTTCGTGAGCATTTAGATGCTGCTCCATGAATTGCCCTCCATACTGCACTCAACAATCCTTACTATTATCTAAAGAATGAAGCACTGAAAAGCAAAGAAGGGTGCATTCCAAATATCGCCCCAGACATCTGCATAGCATATAAATTGCACCTAGAGTGTTGCAGGCTAATCAACCTTGTGGACTGTTCATAGGCTTTTGCAACAGTTTTGACAGCTGCTGAAAAAATGGATGCAAATTCTGCAACCTCAGAAGAAATGAATGAAATTATCCATGCTTGGTTTATTAGAACTTTTTTTGAACTAGAACTTTTAGGATTTATAAAACCTACCAAATAGAAGACTGACCTTGTGGCAAGGCTAACACGGGGAGGCTGCTAGAAAGTGAAAGCAAATGAGTGAAGTCAGAACTATCACATTTAGCTTAAGCGAAAAAGGTGACCAGTGATATTTACATACACTAGAGGACTAGAGGAGCCTGTTTTGGTGAGAAGATAAATGTGTAATCCTTATGTGATGTTTATCCAGAAAAGTACATTGCTAACCCCAAACAGGCATATATCAAAACACCTGTAGAATACTTTAGAGTCCAACAAATAATATATATAACTAAAACTGCTCACACATTTTACTGTACTTTTCACAAAGTTATTACTAAATTGTGAGTAAATCATTCTTGAACTTATAGTATAAAAGTATAATAAATTCCTTTATCCAGGAGTATAAATTTTTAAAAAATGTATTCCCTTTGACTTATCAGTACCTGAAGAATATTTTCAGAATGAACTTGGTTAAGGTTCCTTTGCTGATTATAAAATAGCCAGTTCTTTATCAGAGATGGATTCGTCTCTTAGTCAGTGGCTTAGGTTGGATAACTGCATATAATTTTAACTTAATCTTTTATTTCAGTGATGGTCCTGCCAAATCTCATATTGGCATGACCAAAGCTTCAGGCTAGGGCTTGAGATTAATGCTGTGCTTGTGAGCTCCCATAGTCAGAAACTCTATAGTTTGTGAAGGAAACCCAGGATGCACTCAGCTGGCAGAGCTTTTAACAACACTCAGAGTGAGTCCAGCTTGCTCTAGCATGGTGGCAACAGCCCAGCAGTGCTAATAGGAGTAATAACTCACATTTGTCTGTAAGGAAATAGAACTAGAAGTCACAGACAGAAAATAAATAAAGGTGGAAGGCGCTAACTTCAGCCTCACTCTTTTTTTCATAATCTCATGAGTATTCCACATTTTAAGGAAAGCTACTCCTTCAGATAAAGGGAAGAAGAGAGTGTCCAATCCCTCTGTGCCAAGCATTGTGCAGAAACTTTCCCATGAAAGTTCCTATTTAATCTTCATATCTCGGTGAGTTATTTTAATCCCATTTCACAGATTTACATTATATGAGGCTAAAAGACTTGCCCCCGGTCACGTGGTTAGTAGGTGACAGAGTAAGCTTCCAAGTCCAACATATGTCATAGTACATACTGACTGTGTTCACTGACCTGCAAAGTACCAAGTCACTGCCTTGAACATAATGATTTCAAAACATCTTTCTGAGATGTGGCTTCAGATGCATTTACCATGCCTTCTCAGCCCCTTACCATTTAAGTGTGGATAATTCTATTCAATAAGATATTGAGTAGCTTTTATGTGGCAGGCATGCTGGATAACAGAGGTATAATGTTGTATGATGTTATGGACTGATGTTATATGCCCCCAAAATTCACATGTTAAAATCCTAACCCCCAATGTGACAGTATAGGAAGCTGAGACCTCTGGGTGGTGATTAGGTCATGAGAGTGGAGACTATATAAATGGGATTGGTGCCCTTATAAAGGAGACCCCAAAGAGTTTCCTTATTTCTTCTGACACATGAGGACACAGAGAAAAGATTGCCATCAATGAACCGGGAAGTTGGTCCTCGCCAGAAGCTGAATCTCTAGTGCCTTGATCTTAGACCTCTCAGCCTCTAGAACTGTGATAAATAAATGTTTGCTACATGCTTGTTGTTTAAGCTACCCAGTCTATGGTATTTTTGTTATAGCAACTTGAATGGACTAAGGACAGATGAGGACCAGTTTTTGTCCCCACTTATTTTGTTATTTCTTCAACATATATTGAGTGCTTGTATGTGCCAAGCACTGAACTAGGTTCTCAGAGCACAACAGTGAGTGAAACAGCTATAATTGCTGAAATGGCTTATAGTTCACTGAGGCTCATTGTCTTTGGAGGTGGTGATCACAGCCTCTGGCTGGTGATACATACTCTTCACTTCTAGCTGAGGTGATGGATTTTTACTTACTGACATACTTTTTCATTTTTTTAATCACACATTTATAAGACATCTGTAATGAAATTAAAGATAAAGAAATAAAATGAAATTGAATATTTCAGAATTTGGTTGATCCTCTGATCAAATATCTTTCAAAATCTGTTTTCATTTGAACTAATGCTCAAGAGTCATGCTTAAGAAACAATTTAATAATTTTCAGTAAGAATGCATTCACTGATTCTATTTCTTAAGGAGATTTTCCTATGAAGAAAACCTATCTCAAAGTGGTAGTCATTTATTGACCAAAGAATACATTTATCCACCCTTTCTGCTAGAAGTTTTCTAAAAACATCATTGAGAAAGTAGGATCTGAGCAATAAAGAGTTAACCCCAAATCAAATTAATAATAATTTTTAGAAATTTAACAAAGCCATCAGTGGCAGACAAATACAACATATAATTCACTATATATTTACAAAGTAAGAGTCAGTGTTAAGGGTGGATAAGATAGTTAAATAGCACGTTTATTTAATAAGCATGTACAATGAGTGTCTGTCCTATGAAACCATACTACATATTTTCAATTAAGGCATTATACTTAGCAGAGTAGGAAAATGATTATGGGAAGGAGTACTATTTTAAAAATAAATAGATTCTGGTAACTTACCTAAGAGAAAAATATTTGGGTGTGGTTTACAGATTACTTTTAGAAACTGATGATGAATTTCCTGGAGTTGTCTACCTGCTATGAACAATAATAAAAAAATGTTATCTTGGCTGTTTAGAAGTACCCAGTCATTAAAAGGAAAGCCATTGGAGGTGGCAGTGTTGACTGTGAAGGGCCACAAGGAGACTTTCTGACTTGATAGAAATGTCCTGTGTCTTGATAGGGCTGGAGGTTATGCGTATAAATTGATTTGTCAAAAATGATGGGACTATGTTTTTAAGTTCTGTGCCTTTCACTCTAGGCAAATTATAACTCAATAAAAGTACAAGTAAAATTTTAAAAATGTAAACTGTGGTAAAGGAAAAGACTTCTTGCTTATTTCTCAAAATCCTGGCTTGTGCCTTGTTTAAACCCTCCATTTCACATTATGCAAAGGCATCTCAGGAAACTGAACACCAGCCTGTGGCTTGCTCTGGACAGTGGCCCGTGTCTTATGCCACGGCCATATTTGCTGTTGAGATGGCAGAATAATGGACTTACTGTGTGCAAGTGTACTCATATGCACACACGTATGTGTGTTCACATTGTGTATATGCACCTGAATATGTTCCAATCCTTTTTTGAGCTCCATTTTCTCCTTCTACCTAAAGGGAATTGTACTACTGGCTCTGTCTTACTAAGAAAACCTGTGATTTGGTTCATTGAGATCACAGATTTGAAACAGCTTCTAAAATTCTTAACATTGATGATCATGTTCAAATTATTTTTTTCTGATTCAAAAACGGATGTGTTGTGGGGAGGGTGTAAATAAGTAGTTACATGTACCTAAATTACCTGTTAACTTTCTTCCCCTCAAAATTCCCAGGATTTATCTTTCTCAGCAAATGCTTCAGCACATAACACCATTTATGACTGCTGCTTTTTTCTTCATAGTCAAAAAAGGTGTCCTGGAGTTCAAGACCAGCATGATCAATGTGGTGAAACCCTGTTTCTACCAAAAATACAAATATTAGCTGGGCATGGTGGTGGGCCCCTGTAATCCCAGCTACTTGGGAGGCTGAGGCAGAGGAATTGCTTGAATCCGGGAGGTGGAAGTTGCAGTGAGCTGAGATGGCGCCACTGCACTCCAGCCTGGGTGACAAGAGCGAAAACTCCATCTCAAAATAATAAAAAAAAAAAGATGTCCTATTATCTCCTGAGCAGCACATAGTAACTGACTGCTTACAATGTGCTATTTTTACAGAGACTCTAGAGACATGTTTTTTGTTTGTTTATGTTTGTTTGTTTGTTTTTCTGGGTCAGTGGTACAGTTTAGTTCCTAAACAAACTAGGCTAAAGATCAACCCTACTGAGGTTAGTTGTGTGGACCCTTTCCCCTGACCCCAAGTGTCTTTTTTGTACCAAGTATGTGTCTTCAAACTGGACAAGTTCCTCACCTATGGAAATTGAAATAATTTCCAAGACTTTTGTCTTCTAAGCTTGATCTCAGTCTGCGGAAAGAATGGAGTGGATGCTTTTCAAGCAAATCATGCATTGGGGCTCTTATTCCAGTGCCTCAGTAATATTTGAGTTGCTGGGATATGGGGAGTTATGACTGGAATATCTGTTCCAGTGACAACTTTCCTTCCATGAAAATTTTCTGTAAAGAATTTGCTTTTGTATACCTTTACAACAACTATAAAAGTTTGAGTTGAGTACTTGGAAATTTAGTGAATCTACTCTCAAGGGTAATTAGAGGAGAATAAAATAAGGATCGGGAATATCAAGAGTCAACACACAGGTGGAACTGAAGTGTTTTTGTTTGTTTGTTTTTTGTAATAAAGCCTGGGGCAAGATTAAAAAAAAAAAAAAAAAAAGGGTAGAGACCTCTGTGTGCTGGGAGAGAGAGCCCTAAGGCTAAGTATGAAAACTTTGACCTGAACTTCTCAGTAGCCAAGCTCAGAATACAACCTTGGTGTCTGAAGTATGCCCAGCTGCTTACTAGTAACCCAGAACTTTTTCCATCTCAAATAGTCATAGTTCCTATGTGTTTTTGAAATTTTGAAATACTGTAATCATAAAAACAGAAAGATATTACCATTCATGTGAAGGAAAGACACAAAACCAAAAGCCTCTTGCCCTTCATCATGCCCATGAAACAAATGTACAAGACTATCCTAGAGGCTGCAAGGGAGCTGAAACCCTGAAACTTCCAAAAGGTAGTAAATAAAAATTAATGGCACAGAGGCCAATCTAATTTAGCATGCATAAAATATCATTAGTGCTATCTATATTGAGTGTTCTGTTTTTACTGTTATATGTTAGTAAACATAAAAATTAAACCTTTCCT